CATTGTAAATCGAGGCCTGCAGCTCTCGAATATATTTTAGGGCTGGAAAGTAAATACTTTCTACCATTGCCCTTTAGGTCTCCGCTTCTTCTTCTGACCTTCCAGTGTCTTCTGGGATCTTCGTGCTCTTCAGAGCACAGCCAGCACATCCTGCTCAGAAGGCAGGGCCGGTAAGACTGGGGATCAGAGGATAAGCCCCTCCCCTCTGGGATCAAAGTTTGCCGGCCCTGCCTATGGAAGGGGGAGGTGCTTTCCCAGGAGTAAGGAGTCAAGGACTGCCCCACTCCTGGACCACCGGAGAATGGAAGGCTCCTTTTATCATATGTGGTGGACATGTGACAAAGCAAGAGGTTATTGGGCTGAGATACACAAAGAAATGGAAAAAATTGTAAAATGTAACTTTAAGAAAGAACCTGAAATTAATATGTCAAACAAATGTTGGAAATGTAAAAAAATGGAAGGCTCCTTTTATCATATGTGGTGGACATGTGACAAAGCAAGAGGTTATTGGGCTGAGATACACAAAGAAATGGAAAAAATTGTAAAATGTAACTTTAAGAAAGAACCTGAAATATTGCTTTTGGGACTTAAAATGGAAGAAGTTAATGTGCAGAAAAGAACCTTGATGTGGTATATGATCACAACTGCTAGAATGACTTATGCACAATGTTGGAAACAAGACAGAATCCCGGAAATCGGGGAATGGATAAATTAATATTTATGGCTGAAATTGACAAAATGACAAGGAAACTTAAGAACCTTGAAGCAGAAGAATTCTATGCAGATTGGAAAGACTTTAAAGAGTATTTAGAAAAATATTGGGATGTAAAGGACAATTTAATTTGCTTTGACAATTATTGAAAAGTTAATGGACGGCTCCAGAGAAATGTAATTTATGCAGTAGCCAAACAGTCCGCTCACAATTTTAATGCCAGTCGCTCACGAATTAGAATTTTTGCTCACAAGATTCCACAGCTTAGAGGGAACATTGCTCATGGGGCGTCTTGTTGTGGGGAGAGGAAGGGAAGGCGATTGTAAGCTGCTCTAAGACTCTGAGTGAAGAGCAGGGTATAAATCCAACTGTTCTTCTTCAAATCGTTAATTAACAAGTTTAAAAGCACTGGATCTGGTACCGAGCCCTGCAGTACCCCACTGCTTACGACCTTCCACTGTGAAACCTGCCAATTTATACTCACTCTCTGTTTCCTGCTAAACAACCAAGTTTAGTTGGTAACCTAGCACCCATACCTCAGATGAGGGGGTGCACAGTATTGGGGCTACATTTCAGAGGCACAAGCTACTTCACCAAGACACAGGCAACAGTTCCCTTCATCCCGACTCTCAGCTTTAAAACAAGCATAATCAGTAAGTGTTGATTTCTCTTTCACTGTAGAAATCTCCCAGAAATCTCCCCGTATTTACACAACCTTTCTTTTAAAAACTATGATAAAAAGGTAAAGGTAAAGGTTCCCTTGCTCGAAAGCCAGTCGAGTCCGACTCTAGGGTTGCGGTGCTCATCTCCGTTTCAAAGCCGAAGAGCCAGCGCTGTCCGAAGACGTTTCCGTGGTCATGTGGCCTGCATGACTAAACACCAAGGTGCACGGAACGCTGTTACTTTCCCACCGAAGTGGTACCTATTTATCTACTTGCAATTTCTTGCTTTCGAACTGCTAGGTTGGCAGGAGCTGGAACTAGAGACGGGAGCTCACTCCATCATGCGGCACACTCGGGTCTCGAACTGCTGAACTACTGACCTTCCACAGCCTGCAGTTCAGCGTCTTAACCACTTGAGCCACCGCAGCTCCAAAAACTATGATACAATCCATTAAAAAATATATCTGTGGTTTTTTTAAATGGAAAAAAAACTATGATACAATCCGTTTAAAAAACCACAAATATATTTGCTGCGTTACGTATGGTTTAGCCTGGAAAGGAAAATTCAAATGGTAATCATTCATCTTGACGTTTGTGTAGCCTGCAAAACAGAACAGGGTTTCTGAGGCCTACGATGTTTCTTTCCCAGAAAAAAAATGTGGAACACTTCTGCATGCGTGAGAACCTGAGATGGTGAGCATCATACATCAATTGATTTCCAATGATTTAAAGTATCCTTGCTTCTACAGAGGGGAAGGAATTCGCATGAATGGCTCTTCCCTACCTTCCCCAGCAATTGGTGCTTGGGGGGGGGTGGTCAACAGTGGGAGGGCTTCTAATGTCCTGGCCCCACTGCTGGACCTCCTGATGGCACCTGGTATTTATGGCCACTGTGTGATACAGAGTGTTGGACTGGATGGGCCTTTGGCCTGATCCAACATTGGCGTCTCTTATGTAATCCTCTGCACATCGTGAAGAGCCTCCCTGCTGCGGATGGAGGACCCTCCTGCGCACTACTGGGGGCTGCGAGGAGGGGCGGGAAATGGGGAGAAATCCCACCCCCACGCTCTTTCAGCAACAGAGCAAGCGAACCCCCTTATTGGAGCCCCCCCACACCGCTGCATGATGTTTTGTTTGGGAAGGTCTTTAAGCCTCAACAGAGGCTTTCCAGGGTATGCAGGGGACCTCTGAGGCAGGGTGGGGGGAAGGCAGGAAAGGTCTGCTTATGTAACATGTTCCTCCTGCTTGCGGACAGGCGGCTGCCACTCGGTGTGTTTCAACAAGATTTATTTATTTATTTATTAGATTTATACCCCACCCTCCCCAGCGGGCTCAGGGCGGCTACAACAGAGGCAATTAAGAACATAAGAGACGCCAATGTTGTATCAGGCCAAAGGCCCATCCAGTCCAACACTCTGTATCACACAGTGGCCAGAAATACCAGGTGCCATCAGGAGGTCCACCAGTGGGGCCAGGACATTAGAAGCCCTCCCACTGTTGACTCCCCCCCAAGCACCAAGAAGACGGAGCATCCCTTGCCCCAGAGTCCCTATCTCTACCTTGTTGCTAATAGCCACTGATGGACCTCTGAGGGCTTCGCATCTGAGGGCTTATCTACATAAGATGTGCTATGTGAATTGGGTTGGGGATTTCCCAATATGATTCACGGTGCCACGTATCATTGAGTGATACATCTTAGAAAGCACTCCACTGTTCAATGTGGCTTGGGAGTGCCATGCGAGGGGAGGGCCTCTACTTCCCCCCGGCACCATTTTCTAGAGTTGCAATAGTCACAGTGGGGCCCTCTTTGCACCCATCTCTGGCTCCGTGTCTTCTCAGTGATATGGTCCCAGAGCATGTGGAGCCCGAGATAGGAACAAACAGGGTTTTCTTAATCCAAGATGAGTTCCATTCATCAACCTAACCTGACAACATACATTCTTTGGTTAACTAGGCGTCTGCCCAGGGCCGGCTCACCTCCAGATCTAATCCACCGTCGAAGATGGCAATTCGGTGGTGGTACAGTGACGGCAGCGGCTCCTATGCAAAGGCCTGGCGGAAGAGCTCCGTCTTGCAAGCCCTGCGGAACTGCGCCAGGTCCCGCAGGGCCCGAACCTGCTCCGGCAATATGGTTTCCCGATTATGGCAAAATGTCAATGATCCCACCTGACTATTTGATGAAGAGATGTTTACAATTCTTAAATGAAGCATGCTGAGTGGCTTAGATCCATGCCCAACTTAATCGCATGGCTTTATCTATTTACAGGATGTACACTTCGCCTTTCTCACTGAGATTCAAGGTGGATTACGAAATGCAAGTCAAATACAATCACAGGGATGGAACACCCTATGAACAATGCAACAGGACTGGGATTGCAGAAATACGAAACAGAGCTGAAGCAAAGCAAAAGTATTAACGCAACGTATTAGACAATGTAGAGATAACATATACCTATGGCAACAGAGAGTACGTACCACATAACGTATAGTAAACAGTCCCTTTACTATACTCTGAGTGGTGGCACAGAGGATTTATCCTCTGGTTAACAACTGAACTGAACAGAGTTGCTGTCAGTTCTAGCCCGTGCTGGTGTGAGCTACCAGCCTTGTCCCCAGCTCGCTGTCCACCCAGCGGTTCGAAAGCTTCGGCGAGTAGATAAAATGGGTACCACTCCTTAGAGAGGGTGGGCACACCAAACCCCTGTAGGGGAGGTGTTAGCCGGCGAATGGAATGTCCAGCTCGTAAGCCTGATAAAAAGACCTCTTCGGCATTAAGAAGCCTGTAATGGGCCAATTTGGCCAGGCGGTGGCAGTGCGGCGCTACGACTCAAAAGCAGCCCAGGAAGAACTAACATCATCAAGCCAAGCCGAAATGAATGCCCGGAACACGACTGAAGCCTACAGCTGAACAAAAATCCCCGTCGGCTACAAACGTGTGCGATTTAAAGAATTATATGTTGTCCTCCCTTACCCCTATGAAATTGTTAGTCCCTTGTGTGAAACCGTGTAACTGTAAATCGCTCAGAGCCAGCAGCTCTGCAGGATTGAGCGATCAATAAATCGAAAGGTATTATTATAAACACCATGTTCTGAATCATTTTGTTATATTATAGTTCTATTACCTGTGTAAAAGTGCCCTACTGAATAATTCAGAAATTCAGTTTGCAGAAAGCCACAAGGGAGACATTGCCCTCAACCTCGTTTATGACACCCAAGCATGTAAGGGAAACATGCAGAACTTACCAAGTTTTTTTGTTCATGGGAAGCTCCATTATCATGCGTCTGAAAATACTCAAGACTGCTCGGCAAGCATCCACTTGCTCCTTCAGGAGTGCAGGTATTTCAGTGCAGGGCTCCAACAAAAACACATTTGCAGAGTTTGTCAGGAACACCTTGAAATATTTCAAGTGACATGGGGGAAGAATAGTAGCTGATGAGTTCCATTTGGGATCACTTTCTCAGCACTCACCCTCTCTGAACAGATACAGGCCTGTCACAAATGCAATCTATTTGCCAATCCCTTTATAGCAAAATCCACGTGGAACACAGTCTTGCCACTTGGGCTGCACTGGGCCCCCCACCAATGTTCCCTCTAAGCTGAGTTAGTGTGAGCTAGCTCACAGTTTTTTAGCCTCCAGCTCACACATTTTTCTCTTAGCTCAGGAAGGAGGGCTCCAAGACAAACTAATTTATGCAGAACCCTAAATCGCTCGCTCACAACTTTAATACCAGTAGTTCACAAAGTAGAATTTTTGCTCACAAGACTCCACAGCTTAGAGGGAACATTGCCTGCCATTTTGTATCCTTGCAGGAGTACCACAACCACAGGCAGAACTTACTTCCTCAGAAGAAGCAGCGTAAGGTCCTGTTCCTGGTGACCTTCGCAGGACACCCCTCCAATCATGTTAAGACCTCCTACAGTATTTTAGAGCAAGAGTCCAGTAGCATGTTAAAGACTAACAAAACATGGGGCATGGTATGAGTTTTCATGAGTCACTGCTCACGTCTTTAGATACAGCTAGAATGGGAGTCCATCTATCCTATTTATTGGGAAGTGGAGTGATTTCAGATGCCGAATGACATTAGCAGGCAAATGACAATAGCAGGTGAATGACAATAGCAGGCATGATTGGATTTAGGTGAGACAAGGGGTGGACCCGTGATACCCGCGGGGGGGGGGGCGCAGGAGGAATGAG